TCATCATCCATGGATACGGCCGCTTACGTACCACCACCAGCAGGTTCGTGTTTTGCAATTTTCCTTGCCTCACAGTTATGGTCATTACGCGAACCCTTGGACTCACGAGATACAGCATCTCGACCTCATCATTTCATTTCTCCCGCATCCTTAATAATGAAAGCAGCAGCTATTCACGTCTTACATTTCTCAGCTCAAAAATTTTTTTTAATTGCCCAAGAAGAAATGATGTTAACCCCTCTGGTTTGGAAGGATAATGTGGGAGGTAACACTGGGCTATACTAGCCTCTTTATATAGTTAATCCCCTTAATGCAAAAATCTGACAAAACAACGATTAATATGTCAAAATAACTTAATTTCAACTATCGGCAAGTTGATATTAATAGAGAAGCATCGGAATTTCGTCATGAAGAGTTAACGACCTTAATTCTGGGTGATAGAGAAAACCAAAAAGTGCACTCTTTCCTGCCTGGACGTGGGAGCTTCAGTCCAGAAAAGAGTGCTTCTTTAAGTTATTTAGTTATAAGAAACAATAATTGGGGAGCCCTGGGAAAAAAGACTATGGGCAATAAAAATAAGGGAAACAAAAGGCCGGTAAAGGAATAATGGCAAAGGAAGAGCATTATTTAAAAAGGTAGGTTATACACTTATTTAATAACTTTTACAAACAAAACATTGTTACACAGCCAAAGACAAAAAGAAAGTATTGGTTCGAATCCTCACCAGAATTAAGTACTGTTCAAACAAATACAACCAAGAGCGCAAATTTTTACAAAAAGGCAACTGCTTCTCTGAAAGTTTGGACAATTTGTAGGATGGACGCGACTGGAACTGGAACCTGTGGAGGTGCCGCTGGAGCAGGATGGCTCTGTATTGCTCTCTGCTGTACAATCTGTAATACCTGGAGCGCATGGCCTGTACTATAAGGACGGTCATTCCAAAAGAGCATTAAAGTAATTTGCCTTTTATGGATTTTCACGTTGACAATTTGCAGCGATTTGCAAATGAAACCCTTTGCTACTCAATATTATTTGTGACTTCTGGCGATACTTACGCCTAGAGTTTTTTGCTAAAAGTTATGATATGCTGATTAAACATCGCCTTTTCCCATGTTTTTCTCATTGCTCATCATAGTTTATATGACATTGTATGAAATGGTAAGGAGCTGCACTTTCCC